ACTGAATGTTTTATTGTGATGATTTAACCTTTAATCTCAACATCCTGTATTGTTCCGTTGTATCTGTCTGCTCAGATGAAGTAGAGTCCTGGCTTATAGCAGTTGTGCTCCTGGTCAGTTTTCTGGTGGTGTTAGTCGCTGTTGTCCTGATCTTTCTGGCTGTGTGGTTTGGCTACAGAGGATGCAGAATTATTTTCCCTGATGCTGACCTGCCAGAGGACCTAAAAAAAGTAATGACAGAGCAAGAGAGGTAAAGCATATTGAGCTGTTTTCTGTTACTGACTTTCTCTCTGGCTGTTCTCTTAAAGTTTTGGTCACAACGGTCCTCAATACTTTCGGCCATGCAGGAGAGCACGCCGGTGAAGGAGCACTTTTGTGAGCTAAGGATATTGCACAAGGAGCTAAACAGCTCTCAGGACAATCAGCAGATAGAAGGACCAATCAGGATTCAGACACATAAGAATGAGTTTTGTATAGGAGCCGATGTAAAACAGAGCAGTGAGGAGAAATCTGAAATGATCATCACAACAGAACAGAAGCCCTTGCTTGCTGAAATGAGACTGTGGTAATACGGTATCATAGTCAATGATTATTGATCATTTATTTTGCCAACTTAAACTATTCTGTGAAAACAAAATGTCATGTCATCTAGGGCTGGACTGACAATGTTTTTGTTTGTATTTATTCAGTCTTCATTTTGATGAACCGATATTGATTCTTAAATCCCAAGAATCTATTTTTTTAATACATGCTGTTTTTCAGTTGATGTATGAACAAAACGATACACTAAACATTAGCTTTGTTACAAAGTCCCAGCTTTCAAATTCTGTCAATTGTATAACAAAATTGAAACAATAAATGGTGTATTGGCACTGCTTAATTTAGCGCAATAGACCGTTGTAGCCGCCTCGGTTCGGCAGCACGGAGCACATGTGAACCGGTCATCTCTTTCTTGCAAAAAATAAATGTTCTGTAACAGGGAGCTATTTTATGCTGTTTATAACAACCAAAGTTTCCCTTCACAAAAATTCAAAACAAAAGCATGTCCATAGCCGACAATCTGTCTCTACTTTCCCACCATGTTGTTTCCAGACCAAAATGGGGGAGCAACAATATTGGACAGACATGTTTTTAAAGTGCACTGACTAAACTCTTTTTTTTTTTTAAACAGTTGTAGTACACCTGATGAACATGTAATGTTAAGAAATGAGCTTGCTCTGTTGTTTTACTTACTGTCAAAATGATTTTTTGAAGTTTTAAATAAAACAAGGATATCATGCTTAGTTCAGTGTGTTGCTTGCAGTTTCTTTGTAATTATTTGTAAAAAATTTACTAGCAATTTCTGAGTGAAAAAGTAAGTCCTAAACCATTTTTTTCCGTGCAGGAAAATAATCGATGAAAGAGGTTGAATCGATCAATGGTTGGCCAGAAGGTTTTGTGGTACAAGGGTGGTTGACGGATCAGAGGTGAAATGATCAGTGTTATTGTGCACGGACACTTGTAAATCTAGAGGCAATTTAGAACATGGTCAGTCATCATCTTTTAAATGAAGCAAAGTGCATGTAACAAATATAAGGGGAGATGGGACAACTCTCTAATTTCTCTTTTTAATTCACATCTAGAAGTGGTTCCATGTTTAAGTTTGATGGAGCAATTTGCTTTATTGTGTAAGGTTTAAATCACCAAAAGAAACCACCAAAAACCAAAGGCCTTTAAGCCACGTTCAGCAGTATCAAGAACTTTGCCAAAGAGCTAAGAATAAAATAAAACTATTTGCGTTACCCAAATAAAAATAATCTAATATATATACACTAATCTTGGATAATTTGAAATGTGCCTGTTTTTAATAAAACTTGACTGAGTTTCATTAATAACCCACACTTTTATCAATAAAATACAGAAGCAATTCATTTATACATTAATAAAAGACTAATTGGTTGCCAGTTATCAATAATAAACACATATTTTTAGGCTTAGGAATTAAGGTAATTACCCTTTGAGTGATAGATGATGGTAAACTGGAATTAGATTTAAAAGAAGAAGAAGAAAAGGGGCTTGCTGCTTAGCAAATTATTTATAAATGTGACCCTGGAGCACAAAACCAGTCATAAGGGTCAATTTTTGGAAATTGAGATTTACACATCATCTGAAAGCTGAATAAATAAACTTTCCATTGATGTATGGTTTAAGACAATATTTGGCAGAGATACAACTATTTGAAAATCTGGAATCTGAGGGTGCAAAAAAATCTTTTGTTAAATTGGGATTTATGCATCTTCTGAAAGCTGAATAAATAATCTTTCCATTGATGTATGGTTTGTTAGGATAGGACAATATTTGGCCGAGATACAACTATTTGAATATCTGGAATCTGAGGGTGCAAAAAAATCACCTTTAAAGTTGTTCAAATGAAGTTCTTAGCAATGCATATTACTAATCAAACATTAAGTTTTGATATATTTAAGGTTGGGAGTTTACAAAATATCTTCATGGAACATTATCTTTACTTAATATCCTAATGATTTTTGGCATAAAAGAAAAGTTGATCATCTTGACCCATACAATGCATTGTTGACTATTGCTACAAATATACCCCAGCGACTTAAGACTGGTTTTGTGCTGCAGGGTCACAAATTTGTTGTTTGACTGTCAGTTTCAGTGAATAAAAAAATCAATAGAAGCCTTTTTATCCAATTGTGATGATATGTATAGCCTGTTGTAAATAGTGGAGCAATAATCAGAGATCTCTTTAGTGTAATTTGTGATTTTATCATTAAAGGGGTCATATGATGCGATTTCAGTTTTTCCTTTCTCTTTGAAGTGTTACAAGCTCTTGGTGCATAAAGAAGATCTGTAAATTTGCAAAGACTAAAGTCTCAAATCCAAAGAGATATTCTTTATAAAAGTTAAGAGTCA